TGTTGGTGAGTTGGTAGTCGCAAATCTTCTCGTGCGTGTGCGTAGTGAAACTACCGTGTACGACACAAGATAACACACACCCTGGACCGATTTTCAAAGCTCGATTACTCCACGACGAAGAGGATGCATAAACGCAACGATACGTTTTCGGATAGCCTTTGAACCAGACGGCTTCAACGCCGCCGTTTTCGGCGCCCCCACTCTTTCTGCTGTAAGTCGGATTAATCGAGCTTTGAAAATCGGTCCAGGGGGTGTGCTGTCTTGTGCAACTTACGGTATCCATAGCGTGTGCCTAACCGTAGCTCATCCTCTACGAGAGAGTTTTCCAGGACGAGCTTTTTCGAAGCCCCCCCCTAGGCCTCCCCGCTCCCCCTTTTGATTATTTGGCAGCAACGTTCCGCTCCCGCATCCTGTCTAACCCGCGCCTCCGGCCCACCCCCCGCCCGCCTGCCCAGCTATGAGGTCTTGCGCCCGCAGACGGTGGAGTGGGCCATGACGGAGGCGTTAAGGTTTCCGCCGCGGGGGTTCGAGGCCCTCGCCCGCGAGCACCTCTGGCGGAAGAAGTGGCACATCCTCGACGTGGTGGCGGGCTGGCTGCGGGAGTCGAAGAAGCCGGCGGGCGTGCGGGGGCACTACCGAGGTGCGCCGCTTGTTTCTAGTGGTTCGTGAGACCCTCATCAACAAATGGGATCGTGCGGCGGTATTTGTACCGCGGGTAAGGAGAGTTGTGTAGCTCCACATATATGGGCTGTTCATGAGGCCATAAAAATGGGATCGCACGGCAGTACTGCTGTACGCGGGTACGGGGGGTCAAGCCAGATGGAGCTGGAAGAGGGCAGGAGGTTGCCAGCACGCACCGCGGACCGCTTTGCTGCTGTTGGGGGAAGTTTCGTAGTAGGAACGAGCGTCCCTTTGTTTTCGAGTCCTTCGGAAAACAACATCAGAGTAACCAAAGAAATGCTGTGGTCGGTCAAATCCGTCCCGTCAAGCCTTCATCCCGCGAGAGCGAAAGGAAACGGTATTCCAGGGGGAAAAGCGGAATGTCGGCTGGTCACGTACGGCTTCCAACACCGAATAGTTAGCCCGTCGAAGTCCTAATTTAGTAAACACACACGACAAGAGCAGACGTTGCCTGTCCTGTTTTCTCGCCGTCTAGCTTCCCTCGGTTTCCTCCCGACGTCCGCCGCATCATGACGTCATTGCCGACACCGCTGCTGCTGTCGTTCCCCACCGCAGACCTCGTCACAAGCCTCAAGAACTTGCTGACCGAGCTCATACGTCTGAGCTACTCCATGGGTGACTGCCCCTACGTTCCTCCTTGGCCCGTCCCGGCATCGATTGAGCCCGCCGCCGCCGCCGTTGCCACCGCCGCCGCCTTTGACGGCGATGAACCATCGCGAGCGGAGTATTTCGCCGCCGTGCGAGGCATTTTCGGTCCCGAGGCGGGTCCGCTCTCGGACAACGACAAGCTTAGGGAAAGGAGAAGGAGGAAGCGGAAAAAGCTAAAGCTAAAGGAGAAAGCGGCTGGTGCTGCTGCTGGTGCTGCTGCTGGTGCTGCTGCTGCTGCTGCTGCTGCTGCCGCCGCTGCTGCTGCCGCTGCCGGGAATGTTGTGGATCGGGGTGACCGTGAGGAAGCCAGTGGGACAGGTACCAACAGCGGCGGTGGCAACAGCGGCAGCGGCCACGGCGAGCCAAAACCTAGCCCTGGCTGCGCTTCTGTACACGATAAATCGCCACAAGCGGGAGAAGGAGGAGGAGGAGGAGGAGGAGGAAAAGAAGGCCAGGGGGTGGAGGAGGGGAAAAGAGGGGACGGGGGCTGCGAAAATGGCGAGAACGGTACCTGCGGTAGCCGACGGAGCGACCAAGCGCAAGCTGAAGGTGCTACGGCGGTAGCACCAGCGGCGGAAGAAGCATCAGCGCCTGCGGTAGACGACGCAGCAGCAGCATGCGAACAACAACCCGAAGGTGCAG